TGAAGAGGGCGCTGTTAGCGTCTCCGTCGCCCCTGCCGATAGCCGATGAGGTCCAGAGGGTTTTTTTCGGTAGAGAACGGGGCATAGCGTTCCTTCTTTCAGAGCTTTCGTGAAGAAATTTGAACATCCCACCGATGAGAGTCCTGATGTTCGCTTGACTTCCCGCTTCCTGGGGAATCCAGTTAGTGATCGCTTTGGTACAGCGGTCATCACGATGCCACCTAACATTTTCGGGCCACCTGATTTTCGATTTCTTGGCATAAGCAACGGCATCCCTGATCTCCGATCGTACAGGATTCGGAATTCCAGACTCCCTTCTGTGCTTGCGTGTATAGGGAAATACCGAGCATCGTCGTTTTCAAAGCGCGTTGCTTTCGTAGCGTTCAAGTCTCTGAAGAGTACGTCAAAGCAGCAAGGAAAGCAGTGTTAAAGGCACGGTTCACGATAAAAATGGCTTCTGAGTTCCTTCCTCCGGAATACTCACTGGCCCCCATCGGTGGTAGTAGGGTCTCTCTCGCTCCTGAAACCTCTGCGTTCAGGGCATAGTTGAAGCCCTGTTCCTGCCTTGAGTCGCCTTCCCACCTCTCGATCGATGTCACGTCAGACGAGTGTCGAGGCAATACAGAATGCGAATCTACGTCCTAGGAACACACAATCAGCTGCTCACCGATTGATGAGGCGATGTTTTTCTCCCATTCTTTTTTCTCTGTTATTCTTTTTGCTGTCGCGATTACCCTTTTGATTTCCCACCCTTAGAGGCTGAAAAAGGTGAGCTATTTCTGGTTAACTAGGGTTTTTTGTTCACTTATGCTTATGAGCGGATGAATTTTTGCTTACCATTGTCTTTTCTTCGCACCAGGACCCACACGCGCGCAGTGAAACACACTGTTTAGCTCGTCCGGACGCCCCATTCTTCTTCATTTTTCTGGTTTCATTCACGTCCAGCCCCCTTTTTAACGATTTTTCCAAGCCTTCTTTTTCACCTCGGAAACGGCGATCCACGCAGTTCCTTCGCCTCCATCGTACTAGTTTCGATCTTGTCTTCCATTTTTCATCACAATCTGGATTACCCAAAATTATCGTGAACTACGCCTTCAAAAAGTTGAGCACGAAGCCCGTGTTCTTTGTCTCCTCCAATATCTTCATCCATATTCTTCATTGCTCCCCATGCCGCGCCTTCACGTTTGCTGTTTCGCATCAGTTACCAACCCGTTTCCCATGTACATAGTCTTCGTTAGATTCATTCTTAAGGCAATCTTTCCACACGCGAGCAAGAGGAAGAACGAATTCGGCCATCATTCGTTCCTCCTACTTGATGTTGTTCGGTGTTGTAAGCAGTATGCCGTTTGCAAATGGGCAAATGGGAATGGCCCTTGACCTTCACTGCCAAGTCTTACCATTCCAAATGACGCCTGGTGTTCCTGGCAGAATCCTGTTGATGAAGTTGTTGTTCAGCTCACGAAGCTTTCTTATATATTGAGTTGGAACAACTTGGTAGTTCAAGGCTTCACTTAGCGTTTCTGTTCTGTTCTGTCTTCTTACGGTATCAAAGTCTTCTTCGAACCGATGAATGTCTTACTTGGCGTAATCCTGTACTGCCGCGAAACCTCAACAAGTCTTGTGGCGGCGTGGATGTGATCCGTTGAACTGAATCCCTTTCGAAACTATGCTTGCTCATGTGGCTAGAAATCCCTCGTCTCGCTTTCTGCTAATCATGTTGAGGAAGACTCGTGAGAAAAGTTCATGGATTACAGATAGCAGGTAGATTGGGTGACAGTTGGCAATATGGTTAAAATCTCCCGTCCTATACAGCAACACAGTCTTACGAGTTTTCGGGCACCTTGCATTCTAGCAGATACCATGTTAAAAACCTAGCCAGTGTTCGAGTAGTGGAGGGTTCACCAGATGTTCTTATGAGATCTATCGGGCCTAGACGCCACACAGTTCTTAATGGACGTGATGGCTGTCGAATACCATAAGGGAGATCTGAAGGAAAGATATATTCGTCTTGCCTGAGATGGTACATAGACAGGTAGATGTAGCTGTCGAAGACATCGAAGTAGAAGTCGCCGATGACCTTGAACTTCTTCATTGCCCTGTGAGATGCAGTAATCCATCAGGACGACGAAAGGAAGTCATCTTAGTAATATAATAGGCGAAACTATAGCGGGTCTTCTGGATACTTTTTCGGTCCTCGGCCGCTTCATTCATAACTGCTGCTCCTCTCTCTTTCAGATCATCCTTTATCGTTTTTCTGCATATTAGCTTCGCGTATTTCGACGATCGTTGATGATCGCCTGTGGCTCGCACGATTCAGCGTTGGCGTATCAGCTCGAGAGTTTCAGTATAGAGACGTCCCTCAGCTACTTCTAGACTCCCTGCTTTTCAGCCCAATCATAATGATATCGTGGTGATGTTCGACAAGCCGGTTTTATTCCTAAGTGATGTTGTCGATAGCAGATTCTTCCCAAAAACTCCCAAAGGGAAGCGAAGCGGCCCCAGTTGTTAGAGGCCTTTAGGCTTCGTTTCCTGAACTTCACAGCCCTCTCTACACACACTAAGAAACAGAATGCACCGCGAAGGACGCCGATCTTATCAGGCAATTGTAACAACAGTGATATCAGTCAGGCAAAACTTTGATTGAAGATGATGTGACCTGATTCATTGTGAAACTGTCCACAAGGTAGCTCTTATGTCCCTCGCAAAGGAGGGGGCTTCTGGAACTGGAAATTATCGTGGTTAGTGTGAGTCGAAGTGATAAACTCATTCACTCTGCTCATCCCATTCCGTTCCGTGAGTAACTATATGTAGCTCTTCAGCCGTTCTTCAAGGGTCAGTCTTGGCATTGGAATCACCTACGACGGCTTTGAAAAGGGTGTGGTTTGCTCTGAAGTACACTGAAGAGCTTTTGAAGTACATATAGAACGCTTTCAGCCGTTTTCGTAGCTAGATGTTGGTGCATAGGCAAGGAAGGTTATTAGAACTGACGTTGAGTCACATGTTCTCAATTGGAAACGCCCTGTTCGGGTTTTCAAAATTTCGTACAAATGATGTTCATGGTCAATTGTCTTCACGGTTTATAGAACGCCTATATGCTTCGCAGAACATAATTCGCAATTGTTGAAAAGTATCAGTGATCTTTCATCCTGTAACAATTCATGCCTTCTAATGGGTGATTTCAACTACGCGGACATAAATTGGCATGATGGTCTATCTCCACTTTCATCAGTGTCTAATGATTTCTTGCAAATGCTCAGTAATCATGGCTTCTCCCAACGTGTAAGTATGTCTTCTAGAGGAAATCGTGCACTCGATTTACTGTTTTGTAATGAAGGAAGGATTAATAAAAAAAGTTCTAAAAATAAAAAATGCTCCCCCTTTAGGGCCCAATGATCATGCCTCTATTCACTTCTGCCTGGAGGGACAAAGATGTAAATATGTTTACGCATAAATATGTTTACTCTCAGGACTTTAGAAATGTGGATGTTGGTGGGATGTCTTCGTACTTGCGTAGTGTTGATTGGTTAGGTGTTTTTCAGTGTTGTCTCTCTTTAAATGATCAGTGTTGTCTCTCGGTAAATGACATGTATCAAGCATTTCTCTTCATATTAAAAAATTGTTTGGATTTCTCCGTTCCTTCAAAGAAGGTCCCGAGCTCCTTTGAGCACATTCCTGATTACTTAAGACATTGGTTTAGCTTACAAAAGAGCTACTGGCTCCAATTTGAATGAGGATCGGACTAATTATAAGCGCATTTCTGGTAAATTCAACAAGAAACTTTTTAGGTTCAATTGTTCTATTGAAAAAGTGATATTGTCTTCGAATAGCATGTCAGCCCTTACCGATATGTAAATAATAGAATTAGCGAAAAGAAGGATTAGAATTCCTTAAAAGCAGTGATGGGTCCATTCTCACTTCTGACTGTGACAGAGCCGAACTACTTGCTGATATGTTTGAAGCTGTATATCAAGAATGTGATCCTGGTAAAGCGCCTTCTTTTGGGGTATGAGTTTTTCAAAAATTACCGATTCGGTTTGGTTTGCTGACACGAAATTCACTCGTTACTCTCTCGTTGGCCAACTTGCTCCTCTACCACACCGAATGGTATTCCTTTTAAGTTTATCAAACTGACCTTAGTTTGCACGTGAGTAACAGCAGTCAAGTGAACTAGAAGGCAGATTTGTCAGCGCAAATGACGCGCTGGAAGATTACTTGTATTGGGTTGAACAAAAAGTTTTGTTAGGGTTGTTATTTTTTCCATTTCATTTTACAACTCAGCAAACTTGCGAGCTAATCAACAATGTATTAACCATCATTAGCTATAACGTTGTCTCACCGAACGGGCAGGTCAGCGATTCCCTTTCCCCAGAAATGGGAAGATTGGAAGTCATAAAAGTCAACGACCACTTGTTCGAGTTCAATGGTAATCTGACGGGGCAATATCAGGTGAGGGTGGATGTGAAACCGTGTCCCAGCGTTATCATGGAGAAGGTGCCCAAAAGTTCGTGTAGGCCCGCCGTTTTTCTCGAATGGCTTCCGCTGACCAGTGTAATAGGGAAGGTGACGGTGTGGCCCTGCTTAAGCAGTTTGTTGTACAGCATTCCTTTTGCATTCCAGAAGCAGCAAAGGAAAAGCTTTTTGGGGTGGAAGCCGGATTTGGCTGCATCGGCGGTTGTTCTCTTCGCGGGAGTCAGACGGCGCGGTGCTTGTTAGCGTCGTAGATAATCTGGTTTTCATCTCCATTAACTAGTTCCTCCAGATACTCCTTGTGAAGTTGATGGAGAACGAGAGATTTACAAATGGATCGGCCAAGACTTCAGTATCCATCAGGTTAGTACTTTTCTTTAACCGAGGGCCTGAAGGTGACCGACGACTGTTGACTGAGCACACCCAAGTCTCGTCGCAAGACTGCGGGTTTTAACTTCCAGAACCTCTTCAACGGTGTCGAGAATGACGGAGTCGTCGTTCTCGGGAGGTTGTCCCAACTGAGGTTTTTCTTCGGAGCCTGTGTTTCCTTCATTGATACATGCGAATCAGCGATGGACTCCAGCGAGGAAGTGGTTTCCTCCCCCCATACGCTGTTGATGTTGCGGACGGTTGTCGTCACTCCGGTGCCGCGGAGTCGTGGAAGATGATGTATTGAACATGGTCGCGTGGAATTGACATCGTGATTTAAGCTAAAGGAGGAAACACGCTTATGCATTCGTTCTAGGAAAGTTCTAGAATGTTCTACCACTACCAGATGGTACATCGTTGGTATCGATTAATAATCGGAAGTTCAAGAACTTTCAAAAAGCCCTATCAAAACTTTTTGTTCAACCTAATAGTTCCGAGATCACTTTAGGATGAAATCAATAACAATATAACGGCGATATCTACCACTACTTTTGACCTCGTATGGTTGAACATTTTCGTTTTTTTTTTTTTGCCAAATATACCAACACTTGGTACTGAGGAACTCAGACTACTTAGCAAGTGCTTACTCTCTTGACAAAGTGCTCCACTTCAACTTTTCGCTTTCATTTGCCTTGCTCTGTTTTTTATTGTGGTCGATAATACGAACATTTAAAACACAGGTGCTATCCTTGTGTTTTTGCCTGGATTCGATGATATCGTCCAAATGCGTGACAAAATTACGAATGAATCCTGGAGCGGGCGGCGTCCAGTGATCTTTACCCTACATTCGCAAATGAACTCGTTTGATCAACAAAAAGTGTTTGATTCGGTTGGAGCGAGTGAAAGAAAAGTAGTAAGTTGATCCTCTTTAGTTTTTAATCTATTAGTACTTTTAATGGCAAAGGTGACAATGTTTATGAAAGTCTCGCAGGGACGCTATTTCATTTATTTCCTAGATTTTGTCTACAAATATTGCCGAAGCATCTTTGACAATCGACGACGTGGTGTTTGTCATAGATTGTGGAAAGGTAAAAGAGAAGACGTACGATCACACATCAAGAATCAGCCAATTGAAAATAACATGGATAGCAAAAAGTAATGCAGAACAGCGAGCAGGTATGATACTAGAAGTTTAAACATGATCGGTTGAACAAAAATAGAATCGAAGATAGGAATGCAGTTCAAATTGTGAAAGTTTCCGTAGAGTAATCAGAATTTTAGCAGTATACTGAGAGCAAGCATCTGATGCCTCTTAGCTTATAGTCATAATCGTGAATTACCTCCATGCAGCACTGCCGGAGGTAAAACTCACTATTGCAGAGAGCCCAAGCCTTGATACTTTTACGACGGTAGTTTCTCACAAATGAACTGTACGAGCTTAGGCGAGGTTGCGACATTTGGCCCACTGGGATTCTGAACTAAGTGTTTAGATACGTGTCGTGAAATTCGTTCAGATAATGCAAAATAATTTAGGTCGTGCTGGGCGCTGTCGTGAAGGATTTTGCTTCCGACTATATAGTATCGAGGACTATGAGGTGATGCTTGAGACTCAAATGGCTGAAATGCAGCGAACCGCAATTCACGTACGTATTAGTGTTTGGGTTGTTCAAATGTCTGCTAGGTCTTTATGTCTCAATTGCTGCATTGCTATTTGAATTGTTCTTGATCTCCCATTATTACCCTACGTAGATAAGAGCTCATCGTAGATGGCTTACATATCAACTAGAGTTAAACTTTTTTCCAGGATGTTTGTCTGCACGCAAAAATGTTTGCTCCAGAGAATATGACAGTGAAACAGTTCCTTCAAATGGCTCCTGAACCACCATTAGCAGATGCTGTCGATAAAAGCATGGCCTTTCTGGAAGTAAGCGTTTCTTTCCTCGCTTATGTTAATCTAGCTTTTCTTTTTTGTTTCCTGTTTATTCGCTCTAGTTATTAGTAACCATTTTTCGAGCATTTTTATTAAAGCCGTCCTAAAGCTTTTCCTTTCTTTGTGTACTTGTGATTATCCTTTGTTACTCTCTCTTTAAAATGTACAACAAATTGTACTATGGCTGCTTTCATAGTCCGCCGGCCGGCCGGCCGGCGGACTATGAAAGCAGCCTATGACAAAGTTATAAACGCCTTTGACAGCGAGATGGTCCCATCGCGTGGCAGCGTAGAATGGTGGATTCATGGTTACTCATTTCCCATCTTGTATGCCTTAACTATTTTTTTTATGTTTAGTACGGCAGCTGAGGCTGCTGCAGGGTTTACATGAACTTTGTTCTTCAACAATCACAGCCAATTTATTCCGAACATCTCCGGTTCATATTAGTCCACTTATGATGGAAACGAATTTACTGTGCAATTTTCGTTCCTACTGAAGCTCTTCAGTGTGCAGTTTTCTTTGTAATCGAGAGCATGAAAGTTGTAGCTGCTAAACTGTCGGGAACGAGGATTAGTGCATTCACTTTTGATCTATCTGGGCTCATGCCCACGCGCAGCTATCTTTAATTCTACCACCTATATTTGCCTTCGCACTAAGATAACCTCCTTATGTCAGCTAAGCTCATTAGTTGTTAATGTTTTTAACGTTCAGCAACTGGGTGCATTATACTCCGAGGCCAGCATCTCAGATGTCGACGTTACTGCTGCACCAGCGCCGTATATAGAGCCTCAGCTGACAGACTTGGGAAGATTGGTGGCACAGCTGCCTTTGGATCCCCAACTCGGTATTGTTATGACTATTTCAAGGCATACTATTCTTTTGAAACTTCTATTCCAGCACGGTTGCTATTGTTCGGTGTGGTGCTGAGATGCCTGAGTCCTGTCGTAACTTTGGTGGCAGCACTTTCACATAGAGATCCATGTGAGCGAACCTTTGATAACTCATTTGTTTTGCCTCACAGTTTCTGAATTGACTTTGCGCCCTCATATCTTATGTGGTGATCCACTGAGTTCAATGCGTTTTTTTTCTTCACGAAACTGCGTTTAAAGGCATTTCAGCCAAGTGTAAATGTTCAAATACGATGTTTTCACATTCTGTGTCCGAGTCTAGCTCTCAAAATCATTGGAGGCTTACAATATTCGGTGATTGTTGAGGACGAGACAGTACTTCCTAATCTTGACTAATTTTTCTTCTCTCACTGAATGTATTTCCATGCGGTCAACCTTAACGTACTCTGCGCCCTGTTAAAATCAAGCTGAAGTGCCTAAAAGAGTGATGTATCGATGAATAGTTCGAGCCTCGCCCCTTAAACTAGTTCCCATAAGAAATTACTAGAACCATCAATTGCTTGGTTCAGACTTGCGGTACCCCTTCTATATAAGTACTTCGTTAGCCTTCCTGACTATTGGTTCGTATGCTTATTGCTATTGAACTTGTTATTTACATAAAATATGCTGAATACCTTGGTCATTTAAGTTCCGAGATCCTTAGTGAAAGGGAGCTATTTGGCGTGAAAGGGTTCTCAAATTTTGTTCGAAAATAGAGTGAGTACTATCTTAACTCTACCACGAACCAAACAGTTACGAATGTTTTTCCCGCTTTTTCGGGCAGTTTTTCATTGCTTCATGAAAATGTGCATTACTCATGCGATGACATCTTTTCTTCGCATGACTTGTACACCACCACATTCACAATACATCTGTGTCGCGTTTAAACACTTTTTTCATAGTTTAGGTCGAAATTCACATAGACCGTTCAGTAAGTGACTTATTTCACGATTTATTCAGTTATTCTGGCCATGTCCGAAGAACGCGAACAGTCGAATCGTCAACGAGATAGTTTCGGAAAACGGGACTTCTCCGACCATATCACACTCATAAGGTACGCTCTCACTAACTTTTACTCAGAAAAGGAGTAATAAATATATAAATTAGAAATTGTCATAAGTACCTGAATACTTTGGACAGAAGAGTTCCAAATTCTTTCCTAAGTATAGCAGCCCGGAATTTCATTGGTCTAATGATTTCCCTAAAGTCACAACATTCCGCACATGAATTACTATAACATCTCCCAATGTTTCCAGAAGTGCTTTTTGTATGGGGCTCATGCACTTAAGCGTTATATATCTACCTATACCGTTATACACCTTCAGTTCTTAACAGGCATGAAAAAGATCTTCTTATGCTCTAAATAACGAGACCACTAACACCACGCTACGTCGACGCTTGATATCGAAGCGACGAGTTGCATTCCCAATTGACGCTACTGCCAAACGAAATTCAAGTCCCCATTACTTTTCCCGGGTATCCATTTTTCAGTCTTATACCCATAATCGTAAACGGCACTCAAAAGTCGATTGAGTTATCTGGGTCTCCCTTAGATGTCCATGGTTCGTAAACTTCCTCTCCCTGATTAGTAATAGCTGGCAGATTGATTCTGGTTCTCTTCTTAAATCATATCAGGCTCATGATACATCATGCTCAGTTAACTGACGTGAATCTAGAAAGAAGAACCAACTCTATCAGCTCTCCACCTGATCCACAGCAGGTCTACAACAATAGAGATCCGTAGCTTTCTGCATTTATGGAATAAAGGCAATACTAAACGTATTTGCCTGTAGAGAGTAATAAAGAAGTGCAGTCAGCGGAGCCTCACGTGACCATTAACGGTCCGAATCGGAATTTTAGTGGTTTTTCCCCACCCTGGGGAAGGAAGCTACCATAAGAGTCGCTCTTCTCTGAACTCTCGAAAGTGGAAGATCGCAGAGGCCAGCGTCACATGAATGTCTAGGCTGCCGCTCCTTCATGTGCTTATATAAAAACCTCCGTTCTATCGTCGCTGTTCTGGAACGTAGCAATGAAAAGACCAATTTAACGTCCGCACTTTCCGTAAAAATTTAGTCCTGGGTGGTTCTACTGCTCCCCGGTTTGGGCGTGAGCGCATGCAGGCCAATGAGATTTATGTGAATATTGCATGAGAAAAGCGTGAATACGAATGTCACACATTCACTGCATTGGTAAAACTTCTCATGAAAAGCGTAAAAATTTGCATTGCTATCTCCGAATCGTCCGAGTATTTGTCACGGAAGTAACGACGGAGATACACGAAGCTATGAGTGTAAAATGGAATCACTCAAACGGCATTATCGGTATCCCTATGCATTGGTGTAGTTTATGCATTTAGAAACTGGCGTTAAGCTTTTTTCCTTAGGCTTCGACTGACACTGTCTCATTTAGTTTTCCTGCCTTGAAGTGCTGTCAGTGCTATGTTCGAGTGTGCACGTGTATATCTTCCGTACTTAGAGAATGAGCTTCGGTAATCACAGCGAACCTATACATATATTTTTAGAAAGTGAATTGTGATAAATATGTATTCTCTAACAATGTGGAATGTATTTGGGGTGATCAGAAAGCATTTCGAAATGTATTATAATAAATCAATTCAATCAATCAGTAGATCATCCGGGAATTGTACTTTCCCATTGGCGCATACTTTTTCTGGATTTGGATACTATTTTTTGGAAAATCTCCTCGCCCATTGAATGGCGTATTGGGATTGGGTATTTTTATTAGCAGTTTAGAGGCTGCTTCTACTTGCAGTATTTTCTTCGCCCAGTTGAAGCGGATGATAAAACGTCCTAAATTCTGTCATCAATACAATTCATAGAGTAAACTGATCAAACTTTTCCTGAATGTAGTCTGAGTGGTTGCAGTAATGGTGGAAATGTTTAGAGCCTTCAATGAATTCAACGAAAAAAACGCAAAGGACGCAATACTGTTCTGTCGGACCAATTACTTGTCTCTGCCAGCAATGAAGATGATAGCTGGTATACGGTACGCTGATTTTATTCTCTTAAGCTTTTATAAAGGTTCTTTTGCTGATTGATTCTCATGCGTTTTCACGATTCTCTTTTGTATTTCTCCTCATACTCTTCATACGCTTGTTTTTCTTGCTTTTGCCACTATCGCATCTACTTAGCTGCTAGGTCTTCGTCGCGTACTTTATGTGAGCGTTTGAGCCACTCTCCTTCCCAGTAAGCTGTAGTCCTACTCACATGGACGCCTTAGATAGAAATCGGGAATCCTCACGCATGCTCCGTCCCTGTGTGTCGAGCCCAGCCATCTGCTGTCAGTTTTTGTGTTCCCATGCTTTCGTCTGTACTCTTACCAACTTTGGACGCTTAAGTTTCACGACAACAGGAACTATGAACTTACGGTCTGGCACACACCGACACACAGGCAAACCAACAGGCACGCTCAGCACGTTATATATAGTAAGGTATATAATTCGCCAAGTGTATATGTTGATGTGTCGTTGTGTTTGTTTCTCTATTTATTTACTTTGCCTGCTACGTTGGCGTACGTATTTGGCCAGGAATTCATGATTTCTCTTCCCCTGAGCCCAACCCAGAGCCTGCAAAATTCTAACAGGGCTGCCCACAACTGATACCGGCTAATAAATAGCCCTACAGGGCAATATTATGGTATCCCCTCGTGTGTTGCACCTATTTTGGTGGCGGAACTTTTTCCTTTGTTGTGGAATGTGTCGATTAAGCGGTATTTGACTCGTCAAAGATGGTATGAGCACTGCGGTGTACAACGACTGAGCACCTTGCTCATTTTACAGGTAGAGTAAACATTCAATGCCTCACCATCCAAATGGTAGTCGAATGCGAGGGATTGATTAACCCTAAAACATTCAAGACTCCATCAAATTACTATTGAATGTCGAGACTTACGGTTTGCTAAGAAATCGACCTTTCTATTTGCTCTATTATCTTTAGCCACAAAGCTTATCCAATCACCAATGATCTTGAAATCTCGATGATTGGTTCAACAGTTGGGCTATGTACCTTAACGCGTGCATTATATATCCACGACAGCTCATCTACGATGGATTTACTCCGCGCAGTGTTGGATTATCAGAATAAGATAGCTCTGTCTAGATTTGAACGCCGAAATGCTCTTTAACATCCCGCAAGATATATTGCTTTTGTGCAGAATCAATAGTGGTTGAACATGGCAACGTCTACCTCAGTGCAGACCCCATTATGAAAATAGCTGCCCCTAACCGTTTTCTCCGTTTTCTAGAACCTTTTCAATCATGAATTTTCGATCTTAGCCCCGCCAATACCTTCGCAAATTCCAGTCAGGTATTTGACCACATTTTTTCCCTTATCTCTAACTACAGGGCGGAGGTGGTGTAGTGGCAAGTGGCGCACTATGTCACACACACGGTCAGGGGTTCGAATCCCGGTTCGATGCCCGCCTTGGTCAATCAGGCCTTCCATCCCTCCGGGGTCGGTGAATTGGTACCAGACTCGTCTGGGAGGATAAAAACAATGACTCGTACATCGGCTGGCCAGGTGATTGTATAGGCCACACACGCACTCATTATGCCACTACGGTTCTGAATGGAGGTCGAACTTGTGACCGCATACCTCAGAAGGAATTGGTTGAATTTATCCGACCACTCCTTCATTTCATCCCAAATTTGGCTCGACTTCTGCAGATGCTTCTTCAGGCAATATCGAATTTCGTGACAGGCAGACAGACAGGCGCGAGCGTTTTATATGTAGTAAGGATACCATAAAACGGTTGTCATTAGCAGTAGAGTGAGGTTCGCGCAAGATGAAAACAATTGAATGAAGCGCGGAGTTGGTGCAGCCCGTGTTAGTCGTGCCACTGCCGTACTCGTATGCATCGAACTCTTTTGCTCATTTGTACTTTATATAATGGTGTTTTGTGCACTCCTGTGTACAGGATTACAGCTGTCTAGATATAGTAATCGACAAGTGCAAAAAGTACAAAATTATGCTAGAATGAAATCCATTATTTGTGAAGAAAGGAATCTGCACACAGTGAGCACCAACAGTGAGCAGTCTAGTGAAATGAATGTAATGAAAATTTTCTGGTTTTTTTTTCAAGTCGGCAACTTCTGATCGAGCTGCGCCGTGTACGAATGATATCCTATGAAGGTGATGCCATGAATGCATTGCGTGATGCGACGTACAATAGGTACATTTCAATCTATTATTGATACGTTTATATAATGTTTGATGAAGCGAATCCTCTGTTTTAAGCTATTCCTCTTGTTGGCCAATGGTTCAAGCTGCCATAGTTGCCGGATGTTATCCCGGCATAGGTTTTGTTAGAGCGGGTAATAAGTTGAAGAAGATCAGAACCAGGTCGGTTTGGTTTTCATCCTTTCCACGGCTCCCTTGTGCCTTTCTTTCTTTTTTTTTTTAGGAGTCATCTTTATTTCGTTAACGTGTTGTATGAATGCATTTGCTTCCCAATAATTTTGTGTTTGTTTCAGCACCGAAGCTGCAGCTACCCTTCATCCATCATCGGTAATTAAACGACAAGTACTATCCGCTTCAAAACGAAGTGAAATAATCAATCAATATGTTGTGGAAAATTCTGAAGACCCTGTGATTGAATATCTAGCTTTCCATGAACTGGCGAAGATCGATGAAGGATTGACGGTGAGTCTTCTCGTAGCCAGTGGTAAAATAGGTTTTGGAATATTTCGCCACCACTGAACATTGTCTTGATGCTACTGGTGACCATTTTCATGGGAATTTCGTGGGATAAAATCTGAAATGTAGCTGATTTCAAAGAGCTTAATTTGTGATCAGTGTCATTCTCGCAAGGGCGTGTTAGGCCTATGAATAAGCCATCTGCAAGCAACAGTATCTCGCAGCACTATTAACCCTTTGACGACAATGCCGATTTCGACGTGACACGTCCATGGGACCACGCCCCTTTCCTTTCGTGCGCGACTGGCACCCATCGGTGGGTGCCATGATCCCAGGAGGACCTTCTTTCTCTGACTTTATGAACTTACAAGGGAAGGATCCCAAGTCGAAGTGGTCATTCGGAATGAGACCTACACTGCCAGACGTACTTTTTGATGCTGATTTCAAATCTGCATTCAAAATCTGCCAAACGATTC